CCATTGTTTTCCAAGCCGCTTTGGAGGTGTCTTTTTCTCCCGTTCACCTGCTGTTACCTCCACCACTTCCTAATTTAAGCGGGGACCTTTGGTGTCTTCGCTAATTGTCTGATCGATAAAGCTGCATTTTCTCGCAAGAGAAACGGAAAAGGAGCTGGGGGTGGGCTGGGGAGAAGTGAAAGCAGCCACTGGCAGCAGTTCCTGTTCGTTTTGAGGGTGCAAAGGCAAAAGGATTTTCTGGGGCTCCCTCTGTGGCGGGGGTATTGTCCCCCCACCCCGTTTCCCACTTGGACAGCTACATCTCAACGCATCTGCTGCTTGGCCTTTCTCCGGAGAGAAGTCCTGCTGGGGGTCCCGGCAGGGTTGAAGGATTCACAAGACCCACCGAGAGGGGGTCTGCTAGGCCACACAACAGAGAAGCTGGGCAGGGGTGGGGTGGGGGGATAAATCAAAGGGGTATCTCTGAGATTTCTTTAATAGGAGGTGAATCATCTTCCCCTTCAGGGGCTTTGCCTTAGGGAGAATGAGCAGTTGCAAACAGAACAGAGAGAGAGGAAAAATTCTTTCTTATGTAGATTAGATACCATTGACCTTCCAGAAGCTCGGCTTGCTCTGAAACAGAGCAAAATCAGAAAATAACAGGGACTCCCTATTATTTATTTATTGCTCTGTGTTGCGACCAGAATACATTTGCATTTGGAAGTGTTTCAAAAGCATTTGGCACACTTTGGTTGTGTGGGTCTTAGAAACTAGCCTTCCCCAGTCTAAAGGGTATTGGGAGCTAGAATGCCCAGAATTCCCTGGTGGCTGCCACTCCCAGAATTCCTGTGAGCTGCACAGGCTAGGAATTCTGGGGGCTGTAGTCCTGGTGCTTCCAGAAGGCGCCAACTTGGGAAAGGATGACCTAGGCCCTTTGCAATGGGCGTCTGTTTTGAATTGCTCCTGCAGGTAACTGAAGGAAAGGACAACTCACGCAAGAGAAAAGCGGCAGCAAGAATCTTTCCCAGAAGAAACAATGGAGAATATCCATGAACTACAACATCCACTGTTGGGAAACCCGCCTAGCAAAACCCTCCTCCCTGGTGGGATGCTAAGCTGGGCAGGTCCCCAGGACCGTTCTGGGCTGCTGTCCCACCACATGCCATCAAACCTCTCCTGGTTTTCCCCTGGCACCGCTCTTCTTCCCAACCAGCTCCTGGACCCCTGCAGCTTGTCGAGGACGGTGCAGTCCTCAAACCTCCCAGAGCCAAAGCTGTACCCGGAGCTGTGGAAACCCAGCAACTCCCAAGGCTGGAAGAAGACAGATTACATTGAAACCGCCTTTGGCGACGGCAGAGGGGCTGGCGAGCTGCCCCACAAGATAGCCCTGGAGACGGATATTCATACGGTCTGCTATGAGGTGGGGGACATGGAGCTGCCGGAGGTTGAGGTAGGAGCTGGGCTGGGGTGGCAGGGTCTTGGGGGACAGCAAAGAGGGCGATTGGCCCAGGGCGGCGTGTGCAGGGGCCCAAAGCATGTTGGGGTCAGGTACTGGTTGCTCAGCACAGCCAGACGAATCAGGATCTTATCCACAGGCGCTCAGTGACTGGGCCATTAGCTTCAACGGACGAGCATTCATGGAGAAACAAGGACGTCTGTGGAGTATGCAAGGGGACTGGCAAAAAATCACACCTCTGGGAGCACCTTTTCGAGCTAACAGATTCTACTCAAAGGCAGAAGCGTTCGTGTTTGCCAGAAACGGCGCTCCCAGGCTTCTGATTTTTTTTTTTTTTGGTTTCCTACCAAGGGGAAGGGGAATCACAGGAAAGTTCCACCCAGCTCTCCCCAAATCCTCCATCGCCTGGCACCCCCTTTCTTAACCTTCTGCAAAAAGAGGTCCGCCCCCATTCCGGAACTGTACAATGATGGTGACAAAGGGCTTGTGGTTTGGAGAAGCAGGCCGGTGTCAAAGAGTGCCAGCTGTTGACCAGAACCCTTTTTCCAGTCTCTCTGGCTGAGGTTTCCATCAGCGGAGAGAATTGCCATGACAGGTTTTCAGGGAGGTTTTTCTGAGCAAAACTCTTCCTGTGCAAATGACTGAGTCTCAGTGGGACCTCATTTTTTAATGCAGAGTCGCTCTGATGAAAAGTAATTCATTCAGTCAGCTCCTGCTTTGTTATCTCGGCAATATTTTGCGAGACTGACCTACTTTTGATTAAACAGAGTGGCTTTCGTGAAAAGTATTTGGGTAGCCAAGAATTGCTTTGCTTTTTGTATTATCTGGCTTCTCTCGAGAGAGATACAAGTTCTGAGGGGTACAGTTTTACTTAAGTGGTTTTTGTCCTTCGCAATTCTTTTGGCAAAAGGGAGACTGGTTGCGAGGTGGGAGATGAAATGATCAAACTCTCTCCCCCTAGAAGAGAGAAGAGGGGTAGGCGGGAGGAGGAGGACGAGGAGGAGGGGAGAAGCTGTGCTTGGGTTCACAATGGTATAGCAGCAATATTTCTAATTGGAATTAGTCATGCCTGCCCTAAGAAATTTCACAGGCAGGTTTAGGCTGCTCAGACCTGTCCAAGTCAATTGCAGTAGGAATGAGTGACCCACTGCCTTCTGATGCTGGAAATGCTACAATGGGTTTATTTCACCTTCTACATTTGCACGCCACCTTTTGCAAGAGTTTTCCTGGAGCGTGCTCAAAATAATGCTCAGAAACTACCATGGGACATTAAACTGTTCTTTAAAAGGACTGATGCGCCGTGCGATTGAGCAGCAGGTGCTGCCGACCACAGTGATGCCAAAAGGATGACACCTGGGTGATGATGTCATCGTACAAAAGCTACTATGACGTAGTTGCACGATGCATGTCATACTTATGACACCATTGTCCTTTAAAATCCACGTTCTCCCTACCCCTCTCCAGAACGACTCTTCAAGCGACAGCGACACAGAGAGCGAAAACAGCTTCTCCATGTTGCAGCCTCAAGATTATCTGGGCCTGGCTGTTTTCTCAATGCTGTGCTGCTTTTGGCCGCTAGGCATTGCGGCGTTCTACCTGTCGCAAAAGGTGGGTGTCAGGGACCAGGAGGGAAGAGAGAAGTGAGGAAGGAGGAGCTTTGGACAGAGGGAGGGTGGGAAGAATGGCCACGCGGGAGCCAAATGGGGAAACTGGTCCTTCGAATCAAAGCTGAACTTGGAGGCCGCTAATCTCCACCAACACCCAGCAGAAACATAGTGGAAGATGCAAAATGGAGATCTGAGCTTCTGGCTTTTCAAGGAGATTAACTTGATGTTCTTCTCTTCCTCCCCTTCCTTCTCCTTCCAGACCAACAAAGCTTCAGCCATGGGAGATTATCCCAGAGCGTGGACGGCCTCCCGTCAAACGTTTGCCCTGGCTGTCCTGTCCATCATTCTGGGCATCTGCACCTACATTGGTGCTGTGGTGGCCCTCATCGCCTATCTCTCCAACAAGGCCCCCACCTAAGACTTTCTGCCTCACCAAGAGCCGCTCTTCACCCTGTTCCTTGCCTCACCATGGAACAGGAAAGGGAGGGGGAAGGCAGAATGCAGACACGACAACATTAAGACATATTCCCATACCCTGGTTTTGTCAAGAAAGGAACCAGCCCAACTCTGTTCAGTTCAAGCTGACCGTTTCTTGGACCAAAGAGGAATCGGTGGCAAGTTCACTTGCAAGAAGCTGGAAAAGAGACTGGGAGGATAGCAAAAACTTGGAAAAGCACAGTCCTGATCTGAGGCTCAACTTCCTGGGTCCTCTCCAGTCGGGAGGGCAGGGGGAGGCATCAACCAGCCCACTTTTGCTGCCTTTCCCCTTGGAGCAAAGCGAAGGGACTGTTTAGACAAGCAGAACTCATGGGACATTGAGCAAGCAAAGATGACCATTGGCCCGGAGGAGGGCCTCTGTCTAGAGATGTTCGGTTTGCTTGCCCCCACCCCCTTACAAAGCCCCCAATTATCTGTGCCCCTTGGTCATGCTGCCTTTTCTACAGAGCCACTCAATCCGCCATGCCTGTGATGGTCTGACCCCCTGGCTTCTCAATAAAGGGTCAAGGCCCTGGGCCTCCTTTCACACCAGTTCCCGAGTGTCCTCTTCTGTGCTGAGTGACCCCACAAGGCAAGGGCTGCCTGAAAACAGTGTGGTCCCCCAGCCCTAAGAGGACGTTTCCTGCAAATTGAGGTCAACTGCTGAGGACCACTTCATGAATATGCCATGTAGCTTTCTTGCTAATAACGTGGAAATGGTTTGCCACCATCTTCAGGGATTCTTTGTATAATTTCCCAGGCTAGCCTGGGGTTCCTCAGTTTTCTCCCAAATAGTAATCAGTCTGGCCCTGCCTATCTTTGGGAGTTCAGCCAAGGCTGACTGGGAATTGTGGGAGTTGAAGTCCAGATCAAGGAGAGGCACCAACCGAAGGAGAGGAGAAGACAATATGGTCCTTGAGCAATGCCACTGGAGGTGGCGAAGGGCAAGGGTGTCTGCAGGGAAGGGGAGGGTCAAAAAAGTCAAGATGGTCATGGCAACCGTGTGATTGAAGTTCAGGGGCGGGGCTTCTGTGGCAGGGTCATGATCCCCATCTTGATATTTTTGACACCCTGTCAGAGGTATGTTGCGTTTTGGAGCCGGGAAAGAGTCAAGAGTTTCTTCCCTTTCCATCTGTTTCTGAAAAGGGGAGCGATGTTTATTTCCTATTTGCAGTGTGGCAAGTCTATTTTAGGGCTGGAGCTGGGTACCGCAGAACAGCAGGAACAGTACCACGTTTTAGCAACTGGGAGCTGGGATTTGGCCGCGTGACTAGGCGAGCTCTTGCAGGAGCTCCCCCTCCCCACAAGAGAGAGCGGGGGGCCACCCGTGGCCCTGGATTGCCTACTTTCAGGCCAGTCGATTTAGGTCCCAACTTCCATTGTGCCTCTAGCATCGAGGCTGTGGCAAAAGACAAACCTCCACCTTCAAGTATCTATCAGACTCTCTCTCTGGGATGCTGTATAGCGGATTCCTGGACTGGGCAGGGGACTGGATTAAATTCCCCTGGATCCCTTTCGTTCTAGGATCAGCGGAGGCCCCTTGAAGTAGGGAGGGAGGGCTGTGTTTGTCACGCTTGGAAATAGGACACCAGATTTTCCTGCTGCAGGCGGTGCGTTGTGCGTGCCCAGGGGCTAAATAGACAACAGAACGCGTTGCATTTTGGAAAAACAGCGGGTCAGGAAGAAGACTCAGCTGAACCTTTCCAGAGGCCTCCTTCACGCTGGGCGAGTGGGCCGTGGTGAAGCCAACTAGGCAAAGCCAAAATGACACACACACACACGCACACGCACACCCCTTTCTACCTCCCTCAATCCATTATGTCCCTTCCTTGTTCTTCTGCTAACGCACACGCACACCCCTTTCTACCTCCCTCAATCCATTATGTCCCTTCCTTGTTCTTCTGCTATTCAAAGCTGCCATGAATTATTGAAGATGCTGGTGCTTTATCACATACTTATGCAAAGCCCCCAGGCAGCTTTCTCCGGTACTGACAATCGGCTCCCTCTCAGCTCAGGTGAAAAGAAAGGGGTGCAAAGGAGGAAACAAGAAGCCCACTTGGGGGGGCTTGGGAGGGGCTGCCGGTCTGAGTCATGTCAGGGCTGGGGGGGGAGCCATTTACAGCACTCCTGGGGATGAGCCCAGCGGGAAAGAAAAATGATCCCAATTGGCCACTGGCGGTTACTGATGACTCAACGCAGCCCGTCCTGAAAGGCAAATGGCGTCTTCTGGAACAAATGACTCCCCGTGACAGAAGTCCAGAAGTTATAATGGATGTTCCGTTCGTTTGCTTGGCCGCGGAGGCTCCCGGGGTGACTTTGGGCCTCTCGCTCTCTTGCCATGGCTGGGATAAAACCAGGGTAGGGGAGTACCGCTTTTCCTGGTGGAAAAGCAAGATCCGAAGCCCATCGATCAAGTAGAATAAAGGCTTGCTCAACTCTTGGCATTCCGAGGTATACTTCCCCTGCCCCTGGAGGCACCATTTGGCTTCGAGGAATGTGACAAATCAACTTCAATAGCCAGATAGAAGGGTCATCACTTAGGCAAGCAGGATGCCTCCCCTCTACCCCCAGATGGACATCCTGTGTGTGTCTACCTCAAACCGGCTATGAACATCTGGGAATAAACGAACAGGGGTGATTTCTAAAGTTTGCACTGTTGAGCAGCAATATGGAAGGACTTTGGAGTTGTATTGGCAAGATGAGAAAGGTTAAAAAATCTGCAAATCTGTTGTTCAAGAAGCCCTGCAAGATGCCGGTTTCTGGAGGGCAGGCCGCATCTTTTGCAAAAGGCAGGCCCTCGTCGTGCCAAGTCACTGAGAGGCAGAACCCTAGGCTGGCACCGCCAGGGGCCACTACAAAGCCAAGGAGGGATGTTCAGAGCAGCAGGAGGACTGGCCTGCTGGAGAGATGAGTCTCTTCCCCAGCCCCAAATTGCACATTTCTGGGCGTGCTGAACATTCCTGCAAACAGAAGCCATAAATGTGGATTTCGGCTTCCTCTGTGGCACCATCAGTCAAGAGATGGGGAGGGGGGTGTGGAGAAAAAAAGGGGGGAAACAAATTCAAATAAATGAATTTTGGCCTGTTGGAAGAGGGAGTGACCAAGGAGGCACTTACATCTGTGGGGGAAAAAATTGGAAGGAATCCGGTAGCATCTTTGTTAATCAATAAGGTACTTGTAACCTGTCACATGTAACCTACATTGTGTAACCAGCTTGTCTTTCCCTCCCTTCCCCCCTCCAAATTTAAATCTTCCATTAGTTTAGACCAGTGTTTCTCAGCCTTGGCAACTATTAAGATGAGTGGACTTCAATCCCCAGAATTCCCCAGCCAGCATGCTGGGAGTTGAAGTCCACCCATCTTAAGGCATGCTGCCTGGGGAATTCTGGGAGTTGAAGTCCACCCATCTTAAGGCATGCTGCCTGGGGAACACTGCTCCAGAGCCTGCTTTTGTGAAAGGTATTTTGCAACGAGGGCAAGCTGATTTTCGCATCCATCCGATGAGACTCATTAATTAAAGCAAGCGATGGCTCTCCTCCCAGGCAGCTAGCGAAGGTTATGAGACACTCAGGACTCTGGGAAGCAAATGGGTGGGGGGGGAGCGATGGGGGGAGCGAGAGATAAACAAGCTTGCCAGGGAGGTAACGCAAGGCTGCCTTGGGGGTGAGGAGCTGTCGACTTTGAGGGAAATGAGAAATGATTTGCTTAGCCGGTGCTGGAATGGGACGTGGCTGGAGCTGATCCTAAAGCTTTAATGCACCTGCATCGCACAACAGCTGGATCCTCCCGTTGTGCAACGCCTTCCTCGGCTGGTTTGGGTTTGGGTTTGAAGTTTGGAAGCGGGTGGTCATCCTAGGTAGCCGTCGAGTATCCGAGCACCCGTTTGTGGCTTAGACCAAGGCCCATTGGGGCTTGGTTAGCAAGCCACGTTTGTGCAAACCTCAGCACAACGTACAAACCCTGCCAGTGGGGTGAGGGTGCCAAAAAGCACAAGCAGCACCTTGCTGGTGGGGTTCCATGAAGGGCAACCCC